TCCCCCACAGAGCGGGGCGAGTCTTGGCCTGGTGGAAGGTTCTAGGAGCCAGGGTGATGCCGGATTGTGGGGAGTGAGGGTCCTGCGTCTCCCTGCCCCTGGGCCTGGGGCTTCCCCCTTGGGCGCGGGGGCTGCTGTTTTCTGTCTGACAACCCCATTAACCTCTTAACTTAAAACATACTCGTCACTAGTGCCTTTCCGTCTCCACAGAAGGTGGGCTGCCTCCCTCTGCCCTCGGGGGCCAGCACCCGAGTTCTGCCCCGAGTCCTGGCTTGCTCTCCACGCTCGTGGCACTCCTGTCGCCCTGACCCCCACACTGAGCTCCAGCTCCCGCAAGTGCCTCCAGCCCTGGGCCTGACCCCCTCTGCCGCTCCCTCTTTCTTTCCACGGGGTTTCTTAGAGGTTTCTTTGTGGGTGTTTTAGCATCTTTATATCCGGCAGGTTTCTGTTTGCCATTTATTCCCTTAATAGAGATCTTGGAATATATTTATTTATATTTATTTTTTCAAAATCTGAAATCATTTGCGAGTCACAATCGTCCGTCCGCCTGGCACAAATGCCCAGGGCCTGCCTTGCACGTCAACTGGCCTCTGTGGTCTCTTCGGAGCTGCCAGCCTCCTGCTTCGGGCAGAGGTTCTGGAGGGGCCAGAGGACAGTGCCCCTCCTCGTGTCCTTTAATGCAGATACACACGTGGCCTTACTCTAAGCTATAACGAAAACTTGGAGAATTTTGTTGTGCTTTCGTAGTCGGTGACAAAGTCAGTCAGAGGCGTCACAGCCTCACTTGGTGCAATTTTGGTTTTGGGGAGATCCTTAGGCCCTTTCTGTGCCCTGACACCCTGGCTCAGCGTGGGACTGCAGCCCAGTAGATGGGCTGTGGAGGGAGGGCTCCCCGCCCTGTTTTTATCCCTGGGACTCTCGCAGAGCCACAGCCAGGCTGTCCTGGATGGTGCCCGGTACAACATGAAGCATCCCAGAGCATCACCCAGCTCCGTCAGGACTGCCCTGGTCCAGAGCCCTCCCTGCGGGCTCTTTGGGAGGGTCTGGAGGCTGGGATACGGCCAGCATCTCGCTCTCAGGGGGGCGAAGGGTTTCCAGGGAGGCACAGGGTGGGACTCCTGGTATTGGGAAGTCGGTGCTCCTGGGATTACCAAGGCGTTAGCCCAGTGACCTGGTGCCCACTATTCACCGCCTTCCCTGCCTGTCACCTCGGGAGCCTCAAGGGCCTGTGCTATGAGCAAGGGATGGGGGACACCTGGCAGCTGGGGACGGAAGTCTAGGGCTGGGGTTCACACACAGTGTTCTTGTCTGTCTCTCTTTAGTTCTCACGCTTAGGCTCTTAAAAGAGGCATCCATCCAGAAAGCTTTTTTCAAAGAAATTTCCGTTCTCTAGGATGTGATGACCGCCAGTCACTGTCACCGTGGGGACTGCTGGGTGGGACGGAGTCACCGGGGCTCACTGACCCCAGACCAGACCTGCACTGGCTGGAGCTGCCCTGGCCTGCACTTCCTCTCATGCTGGTGGGAGGGCGAGGCTGGGAGTCTTGAGGTCTCACCCCTTGATCTCAGCAAATGCTTGGGGTTTTGGAGCAGGAAGGGATCTCACAGGGAACAGGCTAAAGCCGAGGAAAGTTCAGTGATTTTTCCAGGGTGCCGAGAAGCTCCGGCTTCTGACTCCTGGCCCAGGCTCTTTCCCTTGTCCCTGTGAAGAAGCGCAGCTGCCTCCCTGCCGGCCAGCGCACAGTCTGCAGGTTTCAGTGACAGCCCGGTGCTCCCCCGCCACCATCAGCTGCCCCAGCAGAAGGATGGGCGGTTAGGGGGCCCCCTGGGGGCCAGTAGAGCACCCTTTCCTGTCCTCTGCTGCATTCCTGGGAACACCTGCCGGGAGGGTGGCCCTGAACCCAGTGCTGTCACTGTGCCAGCTTCTCTACGTCACCTCCTTCCCAGCACAGAAGTTCTCTTGCAAAACCTGTTTTCAGTGTGAGATTCTCCTCTGTGGACAACACCATCGCAATTTGGTCCCGACAGCAGCTCTTGCTCCCACGGCCTTGGGTGACGTGCCCTGAGGCAGAAAGTTGTGCACCGAGCCCACCGGTAGACATGGGAGGCGGTGTGGGTGTGTGTGATCCTTATATATGTAGCCAGGTACTTGTTGGGACCCATCTGCCCTGTAACGGGGCGTCGACAACCTCGCAGAACCAGCTTGGGTTGGGTGTGCGGGGTCACACTCCTTTGTCGTTGGGTTGAACCGAATGGGAGGGGGCTCCAGGGGACCCGCCACCTGAGGGCCTGTGCTCGGAGCTGCGGGGAGCCCTGAGGGCCTTGGATGAGATGTTCAGCCTTCGCAGTTGGGTTGTCTGAAGAGCCCTCAGGGCCACCTTCTCCTCCTCGCGCCCTGGCCTCCACCTCCCCCCAGGCCTGCTTTGTGAACAAACAGCCCAGGTCCCTTCCCGGGATTCCAGCATCTCTGCCCCTGGGGAAGG